GCCCATTCCCATTGCGATTGGTCCTTGTCAATATTCGAGAAAGGCTTTGCACAACCGAGCGACGAAGTCGAACTAAACACCGAATACCCTCTCCGGGAAGATCGTAGGTGCGCCCTGGAAAAACGACGGGAATTTCCAAGGGGGCGGAGGTGCCCTGTCGCCTTCTTGACGCGGAATCTCGGCCAATCTCGGCGCATCTCGGCTAATCTCGGAGGTGCGCTGTCGCCTTCTTGACGCGGCGCAGTGCGATGCAGTTCGCCTCGACAAAGTACTTGAGGGCCATGTCGTCGATGCCCTTGGTGGTGAGGATGACGTTCGCCTGCGAGCACGCGCGGCGGCAGTCGGGGCGCGCCTCCCGGTCCGGGCAGCGGAGAGGGGGGTGGGAGGGGGAGCGGAAGGGTGGTCGTGCGCAGCGCGCTCACCCCGGCGTTAATCAGCAGCTGGATCCGCTCCTTGGTGATGTCCGCCTCGCGCTTGCGGATCTCCTCGAGCTTCTTGGGGTCGGTCACGACGACGCTCACCCCCATCGCCATCTTGGTCTTGCGCAGGTCGATGTCGAGCAACGCGATCCTCGCCCCCTTGACCGAGCGAGGCATGCCCTGCGCCGCGCGGCCGCCCTGCAGCACGTACCCGCTGATCAGCTGCGAGTCCCTGGCGGAGCCGCCGTGCTGCTTGAGGATGCCGACCGACTTGATCGGGTAGATCGCCTTGCCGCTCTCGGGGTGCACGTCCTTCACCATCGCCATCGCGTCCACCGCCAGGTTGGCGAAGAAGTCGGACTCGCGCCCAAAGATCTTTGACGAGAGCGTCGTCTTTGCAATCTGGAAGGCGATGTCACGGCCGAGCTTGTCCGTCTTGACGACCATCTGGTCGCGGATGAACTTGATCGACTCCTTCATCGCGAGGCGGAACCCCGCCATCACCGACGTCGCGTGGATCGAGTCCTTGATGAGCTCGTTGCCGCGCTTGAGCAGCTCGGCGGCGAGGATGACGACCGAGGTGGTGCCGTCGCCGACCTCCTTGTCCTGCATCTCGGACAGCTGCACCAGCACCTTGGCCGCCGGGTGCTCCACCTCCAGCTGGTCCAGGATGGTCGCGCCATCGTTGGTGATGGTCACCTCGCCGAGGTCGTCAACCAGCATCTTGTCGAGGCCGACAGGGCCGAGCGACGACTTGACGACGTTGGCGACAGAGAGCGCCGCCGTCACGTTCTGCGTGCGCACCTCCTGGCCGGAGACGCGCTCGCCCGCGATCGAGAGCTGGCTCATTGTGGAGGAGCTGTTGCCGCCAACGCCTCGCGTCGAGCGGTCAAAAAAATAAGTCGCTTAAAAACCGCCCGCTGGCTGCGCTCCTTAGCTCCCCGGCCCTGGATATGAGGCTGATGACTGCACTCCAAGTGCTCCAAGGGCCACAGACGTGGAGAGTGAATTCGTATGGCGATCCGCCTCCACTCTTTGTTGCTCCCTCGCCCGGGCGGAGGGCATGTGGCCGCGGAGGAGGCGGGCGCGCGCTTGCCAGGCCTTCCGCAGACAGCCTCTCGGGCAGACTGAGGGTCGGCTTTGCGTGGCGTGGCCCGTGCGCTGCGCTGCGCAAAGCTGCGTGTGCTGAGGGAGCATCGTGGTGCTTCCTTTGGGAGGTGCGCACCTTCCTTCCTTCCTGCGACTGGTGGAGGGCCGTGCCGCCGCGCGCCTGCTCCGTGGACAGGGCGGGGAGACGGCGCCGCAGCGCCACAGCCTCCGCTGCATGCCGGTGCAGCACTCTGCTGCTTGGTGAGCAGCATGCTGGATCTGTGCGCGACGTTCGCGAGGCTGCAGTGGCACTGTACTGCCAGCCGAGGCGAGTGGCGCGAGGCACGCGCGGCGCCGCGCGTGGCTCGGACGGAGCCAGAGAGCGCGCTCGATGGGCCAGCCTGCGCGGCGCGAGCGCCTGCGCGGCGCGAGCGCCGCGCAAGCCTGGCACATCGTTTGCATGCTGCCGTCGATCCTCTGGTCAACGGCGGTCAATCTCGCGATTGTCGATCAAACCGGCGGGCTTTTCGTGTTGCCTGGCATCCCCGGCGAATTCGTCGAGATGAAGCTCCGCGACGACGCCCGTGGACTGCACGCGCAGGGAGAGGCGCACGAGCTCCCGCACGGCAAGCGACTCCTCGGCATGCGCCGCCTGACGCCTGTCGGCATCCCATTCTTGCAAGCAAGCCATTGGTGAACCCCGAATGCGGTACCCGCTTTTCCGCGATCATTTCGTCCGTCCAATCGAAGGAAGCGCCGGATCGCCCATGTTTAGGGGGTACAAAACTTGATCCGAAGTAAAGCCCGTTGCCACACGCACTTTTGCCAGAGCCTCGCGAAGCAATTGGCCTCCGCTCAGGTGTGACATATTCGCTGCGGTCAGAAACTTGAGCGCGTACGGCACCGGTTTCGCGAAGGGCCTTTGCGAAAGAAAAGAACACGTACTCGCGGACCGCCCGCCCACGACCGCCTCCTTCCAGGTACGACGTAAGACCACCGGGACAACGAGCTCCCCCCCCTCCCACCCACCCTCCCTCCCACATGCCCGCAACCACGCCCTTTCTCCACCCCTCTCCCACAAAAGTCCTCTCACCTTCCTCTCCCCTTTAGCGGTGGAGATCGCGGAGCCCCCCCTGAGTCCCTGGAGCCATACAGTTCCGGACGGGCATTAAGAACCCCCCCCCATTAAGAACCTGAGGCTTACATTTTGGCGGATTGTCGCCCATCTAACTAAGAACCTGAGCCTGGGCTAAGGCTAGGTCGGACACCCATCTCGAACCCACGACCCGGTACAGCACACGCTGATGCGCATCTACAGCACACGCTGATGCGCAGCGCGTGCGAGAGGCAGGACTACCCTGTCCTGGCCTATCGGCCTATCTATCCTACACAGCCTCCAGCAAGACCCACGCGTTGGGCACCTCGTTGTGCCCGTAGTCGTCGAGAGAGAGCACGTGCAACGGTCGTAGGACCCCCCCCCCCTAAGAACCTGAGGCTCGCGTGCCGGCCTGCCTTCGACATAGCTAAGAACCTGAGCCTGGGCTACGAGCGCCGCAGTTCTTAATGCCCGTCCGGAACTGTACAGATGGACCATCCACACCAACCTTCAATCCGTTCCTCTTTGAGCATCGCCCGTGCCGCGCACTGGCATGCGCGACGCTGACAAACAAGAGTGGAGCGTCCGGATCAACACCCATCGGCTGATGAGGCCTGTTGTCCTCGCTTGGCTCCACAAGGACTCGCTGATCGCGCGCCATCGGCTCGAGGTTAAGCCAGGTGGTGTTTGTTGTCGAGAGATGTGTCGCGTAGACCCTGCCACTTTTCTCCCGGTCTAGTCGGAACGATGTGGTGTCTTGACAGGTGAGACGTCGGCGAGGACTTCAACCTCACCGAGGAGAAGCACGGCGACATGTGGACCGAGGAGGAGGACTCGATCATCTACAACGCGGTGGTGCAGCGTGGGCCGTGCTGGACCGCCATCGCCCAGCTGCTGCCCGGCCGCACCCACTCGGGGTGCCGCAACCGCTGGGTGAGGATGCAGGAGCGGCGGCTGGCCGCGGCCGGCGTGCACGTCACGGGCGCGACGCAGGTGATGGAGGTGCTGCGCAGGCTGGGCTTCTCGTGGGGGAGCGACGCGAACGCCGCCGGCGTGGCGCACCTGGCGGCGGTGGCCGCTCAGCATGGCGGGGACTCTCACGGTTCAGGCGTGGCGCACCTGGCGGCGGCGGCGCAGCAAATGGCGGCGGCGCAGCAAATGGCTGCGCACTGACGGCCACAATCAGGCCACAATGCGCTTCTCCCAGCAGATGCGACCAGAATTGAGCAATGCCCACGGCAATTTTCCTGTTCTTTGCACGCAGCAGCGATCTCGACTGCCTCCGTTCTGTATCCGGTCCTCGCCGAGGACAACGCTCCGCCGATGCAATCTCACGGCAGGGCATCCCGGCGGGCGAGGCAGCGTGACATGAGAGGCCGAGTCGCTTTGTTTATGTGATGCCGTTCGTCTGGCTCGGGGGCGTGAATAGTCCTGGGTCAGAGGGTGTGGGGGAAGGGAGAGGGCGGGGGTGGCGGCGGGTGCGGACACACACCGGGGGCGCCGCCGGGGCGCGCCACACGCGCCGCCCCTGGCTCTTGCCCCCTTTTCGCTGCCCTTCGAGCAAGTGCGCCGCTCGGCCTCCGCCCGCTCTCAGCGTGTCGTGTGGTGCTGCCAGCAGCCGGCAGCGGTATATCATGGATATTATGGTGCGAGATGCACATCGTGCTGGTTGGTGGGTGGTTGCTGCCGCCGCCGCCACACAGGGCGGCGGATTTCGCGCTCGCCCCCGGGGGCAGTCGCTGTAGACGGAGCGTCACACACACAGCGCGCGCGCGGCCCCGGGGGGGGCCGCGGGGGATTTCGGCTTTCGCTTCGTTCGCCCGCCGCCTCAGCGGCCAGTAGAGGGAGTCATCATAGCCGCACCCCGCAAAAGTTGGAATCCGTCCAACACCTGGCATGCCTGCCTGCGCCGCCTTCTCGGTGCACGTCGCCTTCTACCTCTGGTACGGCACCCCGGCTCTTGACGGCCGTTGGCTCCACTGGGATCATGCGACGCTACCGCATTGGACTGATCATATGAACGAGCGCTTCCCGCCTGGCAAGCCCTTCATCCCGCCAGACGAGCCGCACTCACCCTACTACCCTGCGCGAGGCCTCTACTCTTCTCGCGACGAGAGCGTTCTCCGTGAACAGATGCGCGAGATCGCCGCCGCTGGCATAGACTCAGTGATGCTCTCCTGGTGGGGCCAGGCGGGCAAAGATATCCGGCGCGACTCGCAAGGCGTCTCCACCGACGAGCTCGTGCCGGCTGTCCTCGACGCGGCGGCCGCGGCGGGCGTAGGCGTCAGCTGGCACGTCGAGCCTTACGGCGGCCGAACGCCCGCCTCCGTCCTGGACGACCTCCGCTACCTGCACGAACGTTTCGGCGCGCACCCCGCCTTGTGGAGGCAGCCTCCGCCAGCGGGGTCCCGCGACGGCTCGGCTAGCGACGGCTCGGCTAGCGACGGCTCGGCTAGCAGCCTGCCGCTCGTCTTTCTGTACGACGTGTCGGCAGAGCACACCGGGGGCGGCTCGCCGGCAGAGAAGCGGCGGGCGCGGGCGGCGTGGCGGGAGGTGATGCGGCAGGTGCGTGGCAGTCCCTTCGACGCGACCGTGCTCTCTCTCTTCCTCGACGAGCGAGACGTCGACTTTGTGGCGGACGCGGGCTTTGACGGCGCGTACTCTTACTTTGCGGCGAGCGGCTTCACCGAGGGGAGCTCGCCTGGAGGCTGGCGCACGCTGCGGCAGCGCATGGCGGCGACGGGAAAGGCTTTCGCTCCGTCAGTCGGGCCTGGCTACAACGACACACTGATTCGGCCGTGGAACGGCGGAGCGACGCGGCCCCGCGAGGGCGGGCGGTATTACGACGAGATGTGGAGGGCGGCGCTCGACGCGTCGGCGAGCGTGGTCACAATCACTTCCTACAACGAGTGGGGCGAGGGCACGCAGGTGGAGGCGGCGAGGCCGCACGTCACGGCCGCCGGCGCGGCGTACGCTGACTACGCGCCCGACCCGGGCGGCGCGTACCTGGACCGGACGCGGGAGTGGATTCTGCGCGGGCGGCGGGAGCGAGGCTGTACGGCGGAGGAGCGTGTCGAACTGTAGCGGCTACAAGCAGCAGCAATAGTAGGGGTCAGCGGCAGCACACAGTGCACAGCGGCAGCACAGCAGAACACTTATTGTCGGGTGCACTTGGAGTGCGCTAACCTCACATCCAGGGCCGGGGAGCTAAGACTTAGGCCCTTGAAGAGAGAGAGTCTGAGCGCCGCCGGACGAGGCTCGAGGGATGATCGCGGGATCGTGCCGCTGCGGGCAAGAGAGGAGAGAGCCCTGACCCTGGGTGTGCGCGTTCGCCTTGCAGCGCGCCACCTCCCCACACGTAAAGAAAGACGCGCGGGCGGCCCCCCCCCCGGCTGCTGCCTGTCTCGTCTCATGTCGCCCCGCGCCGACCTGTACTCGAAGAAGATGGGCGAGCTCCTGCTCAAGGGCTGGCGCATGCTGGAGGAGGAGTGCCCTCTCACGCACGACGTGCCTCTCATGCAGCACCCGCAGACTGGCCGCAAGTTCTCCATTGCCGCCGGCTGCTACACCGACGAGATGGACGGCGAGATGAACGGCTCGCCCACTCCACCGACGTCCACCGCGACGCCGTCTCCCGGGACGAGCCGCCCCGCCGCCGCCGTCGCCGCTGCCGCTGCCACTCCCGGGGCCTCTTCCGCCGCTCCACCGGCGCAGCCGCCGCAGGGCGCAGGCCCGGCTGCCACCGCCACCGCGTCGCTGTGCGAGGGGCGCACCGAGGCGGACGGGTGGTGCGAGGAGATGTCGGCCCTGATGCTCAAAGGCTGGAAGATGCTCGGAGAGCAGTGCCCCGACACGGGCAAGGCGCAGCAGACACGGCAGCACGCCCGCCGCCGGCCTCACCGCCCTCCGCAAGCCGCCGCCTCCCGCCCGCAGGTCCCTCTGATGCAGCATCCGGTCAGCGGTCGCAAGCTCTCCGTCGCCACTGGCAGGAGAGACCGGCCCACGCCCTACCGCCCGGGCCCTGCTGCGCCTGCCCCGTCGCCCCTGCCCCGCGGCCCTGAGGATTAGAAGACAGCTGTGCACCACGCCGACCTCGCTGTGGAGACAACCCCTAATCACCCATCGAATATGAAGGGCCGCTCTCTCCCCCCACAACCGCCTCCACCCACCCCAGTCCGCCCTCCGCCACTCCACACACGCCAGACCCGCACCGCAGGTACACGGACCAGCCCCGTGCTCCGCCGCACGCCGCGTCCTCGCCCCAGCCAGTCCCCGCCGCACCTCACCCTGCACCCGTGGCTCCGCGTGCTCCCGCGCCTCCGCCGTCGCCGCCTCCGCCGCCGGCGGCGGCGGCGGCGTCCGCAGAGATTCCCGACGTCGCGGTCGCTGCGCTCGACACGGCGGCGCGGGCGCTCGCCGACCAGCTCACCGAGTGCGCCAAGCTACTCAGCCGCGCCGCAGCGCCGCCGCCGCACGGCCTCGTCGAGACGATGGCCCAGTGCGCCGATGCGCTCGCCGCGACGGAGCGCGCAAAAGCGCTATTCCGCACGGGGCCGCATTGAGCGGGGGACTAGACAAACACCCCCGACAAAAAAGAAATTGCGTGTCGCACACTTTTTTCTCGCTAAGGTCCTGGGCTGCTCTCTAGACTGATGCGAGCGCGCTCCCTCGCAGCGGGCCTCCTGCTGCACGCGTGCTCGGCAGCGGTGCTCGCGCCGCCGACCATTTCCCGCCACTCGGTTGCGCTGCCGGCCCTTCGCATAGGTGGCGAGTGGGCCGGCCACACTGTGGAGTTCTCGCCGGAATCCGGCTGTGCGCTGTCCAGCGTCGAGGTGCTGGCTTGTGAGCGGTGGAACGCTGACCGCCGACTGGAACGGCGCACGATCGAGTTCAATGCCGACGGCGCTGCCATGAGCGAGGGCGTCGTGCTGCCGTTCGCGCAGAGTGGCTCCGAGGTGCTCACTCTCGGCGCGAGGATGCTGGAGCCCGACGTGCTCAACATCCGGGCGTGGGCGCTGGATGCGGTCGACGAGACCTCTCCGGGCACGTGGGACTGCGAGGCGATCATCGACGGCCTCAGCGGCGACCGGCCGGCGGAGCGCGCAGGGGCGCTCGAGTGCCCAAAGGTGAGGACGCGCGTGCGGTGCCGCTTTGACCCGACGGCGGGAAGGGTCGACCCAGCGTCGCCGGTTGCGATCTCGCTCGAGCGCTGCTGGTCGGTGACGCCGTCGGCGGCGCTAGACGAGGCGGGGCCTGCTGCTGTGGACGCAGAGTGGCGGTCTGCTGTGGTTGGGATGGAGAGCTTTGGTGAGGGAGAGGGCACTCTCTCCGCCGCCGGCATCGAGCTTCATGGCGAGCCTGGGCTGCTGCGACTGACGCTGCGTTCGGGAACGAGGGCGCAGAACGGCTACTCGAGCGTGTCCATCTCCCGCAGCTGGGTGGGCGAGTGTTGCGAGGGCCCCGACGCCGCTTGCTCCGTCTTCACTGAGGTGGAGGTGACGGACGATACGACTGGGGATAAATGACCCGACGACGCGGCAGGTGACTTGCTCGAGGAGCACGATCACGACCGCCACGACTGAGCTTCCATGGAGATGGCCGGTCCCCGGAAATGACGCAACGTTCGCACAATCTCCTCAAACGCGGGAGCTGCGCGTTGCTGAGCGAGCCGCGGGGCTTCTGACATTTGCACCAAGACGTGTTTTTTACGTACGCGTATTCTTGGTACCAGATCCGTGACACACGTACACATGCACTCTCTACTATCACAAAATTGCACCACCGCACGCGGGAGCAGCTCAGGGCAGGGACGCCTGCAACCGGACCGCCACCGGACCCACACCGCGCTGCACCACGCTCTCGCTCGGTCTCGCCTCTCGGACATGCGATGCTCAAACGGACATACTCTTGTACTCTCGATGTGCGCCCAACCCACCCCGCGCGCCCCGGCGCCGCCGCCAAATGCTATCGAGCGCCGAACCTCAACCTTTTCTCTGTCGAGGGCAGCAGCAGGGGCTCCGACTTTGGGAGGACGGCCTTCGGCACCTGCTGCAGCAGCTTGAAGATGCCGGTGCCGAGCGGGATCGGGATGCCGAGGATGATACACTCGGAGACGCCGCGGATGGCGTCGGTGCGCGAGTGGACCGCCGCCTCGAAGAGGTGGTCCGTCGTCTTCTCGAAGGAGGCGAGCATGAGCACCGACTGCTTCATCTTCGGCACGCCGAAGCGCGTGATGCCGAGCACCTCTCCGCGGAAGCACATGACATCGGCGAGCAGCGTGACGTGCCGGCAGTCGATCTCCATCCCGTGCTGCCCCATCGTGTACTGGATCTCGTCCATGATGGTCTGCCGCGCCGCCTCGATGCCGAGCGTCTTCTCGACCTCGGCGATGTGCGTCGATCGCGTCGCGCCGCCGCGCACGCCGCGCACGCCGAGGACGTCCCTCAGCCCGGCGCCCTCGACGAGCAGCTTGTAGCAGGGGCCGCCGCTCGCCTTCTCCACCTCGCTCTTCTCGCCCTCCTCCTTCTGCGTGATGACGGCGCGCGTCACCTCCTTGATGCCGCACACCAGCACTGTCAGCAGCATCCCGCGCAGCCGGTGCAGCTCGGGGAGGGCGAGGTGCTCGCGGCTGACGCGCGCCGGGTGCACGCGCACCTGCGAGACACCGGCCGAGGGTGCAGCCGAGGCGCGGGTGTAGCCGAGAGGCCGCTGCGCGCGCACACCTCCGCCGAGGAGCGCACGCGCACGTCATTCTCGTGCAGCTTCATCTTCGGCGCGGCGAGGATGGAGGTGCGGACGGAGGCGACGGTGACGGCGAGGTGGAGCCGCTCGATGAGGGCGAGGTCGAGCTTGACCGAGATGTAGCACTCCACCAGGTCGTACACCTCGACGACGGACTCGCAGATCTGGCCGAGCTCGGTCCGCTCCATCCGCCCCTTGACCACGCGCGCGGCGGTCAGGTCGAACGGCTTGTCGAGCTCGGCCTTGATGATCGGCGTCGAGATCTTCTTGGCGGCGTTGATGATCTCCTTGATGCGCGGCACGCCGAGTGTGATGTTCATCGAGGCGACGCCCGCAAAGTGGAACGTCTTGAGCGTCATCTGCGTGCCCGGCTCGCCGATCGACTGCGCGCCGACCGCTCCGACGGCGGTGCCGGGCTCCACCTTGCTCGCGAGGTACTTGCGCATGCACGCGCGCAGGAAGCTGTCGAAGACCTCCCCCGTCAGCACGTCACCCCCGCTGGCCGGCGGCGCCGCCGCCGCCTCAACCTCCATGGGCGCCTCATCGACGGCAGCCTTGGCAGCCGCCGGCTCTGGCGCCGCCGGCTCGTCATCGTCATCGCTGTCGAGGACGAGGCGGGCGGTGCGACGCTTCTTGGCGCCGCCGCCCTTGTCGGCGGCGGGCGAGAGCGGCGAGACCTTGGCCTTGCGCGGCGAGCTCTTTGCGCCGACGCCCACCTTGGTCGGCTCGAGGGCCGGAGGCGGGAGGGCGACTCCGTTAGCCGGTGCGCCTGGCAGCGACGGCAGGAGCTTGCTCGCGACGAAGGCGCGCAGCTCGACCTCGAACTTGGCCGGCTCGGAGGCAATGGTCCGCGAGACCACGCCGGTGAAGGCGGGCGAGGCGACGAAGGCCTCGAAGGAGGCCACCGCCTGCAGGGGAGAAGGGGGGAGGGGGGGGGGGGTTGGCAGGGCGAGCGAGGGGTCCGCGTGCTTCCCAGGCGCGGAGGAGCCTGCGCGAACGAGAGCGGCCCTGGCGTCGCCGTGGCGGCGGAGGACGAGGCGGCGGCGGAGGACGAGGCGGCGGCGGAGGAGGCGGCGGAGGAGGAGGCGGCGGCGCCGTCCCGAGGCTTGGCAGCCGCGAGCTTGACGAGAGCGCGCTGGTGGAGGAGCGTCCGCTCGAAGTTGACTGGACGGCCATCCTTGTCCTCCATCATCGCCGGGTCGAGCTCGTCGTCGCCGTAGTGGAACTGGACGAGGTTGGCCTCCGAGTTGCGGACCGAGCCGTCGTAGCTCACCGTCAGGTCCTCGAGGGCCTGAGGCGAGGGGCGGGAAGAGAGTGAGCACCGCGGCCGGCTGGAGTGGCTGGCAGGGGCGAGCGGGCGGGCAGGGCAGCGGCGGCGGCGCGCCTTCATCAGCCGGCGCTGCATGTATCCCGTCTCTGCGGTCTTGACGGCGGTGTCGACCAGCCCCTCGCGGCCTCCCATCGTGTGGAAGAAGAACTCGGTCGGCGCGAGGCCGGTGTAGAATGAGTTTGCGACGAAGCCCTTGTCGGGCGGGGCGCGCGAGTGGCGCGGGAAGTGCGGCAGCGCGCGGTGGATGAAGCCGTTGGGCATGCGGCGGCCGCCGACGGACTGCTGGCCGACGCAGGCGATCATCTGCGAGATGTTGATCGACGAGCCTGCTCACGGGCGGGGCGGGTGGAAAGGCGCGCGCGGCCGGCCGCGAGCGGCGTGTGAAGGGCCCTTGGAGCCGCACGTGGCCATCGTGAGAGGCGCGTTGAGCCGGTGCAGCTCGCGCTTGCAGATCTCGCCCGCGTCGTCACGGATGCGCGAGAGGAGGCCGTTGATCTCGCTCTCGAGCGTCTGCTCCGCGGTGCAGCCCGGCGCGGGCGTGAGCTGCCCCGACTCGAACTCGCGGATCTTGCCGCTGCAAGCCTCGTACCCCGAGGCGAGCAGCTTCGCCTTGGCCTCGGTAAGGCGCGGCGTCGGCTGCACGTCCTGCACGCCGATCGAGAAGCCGTAGTCGGCCAAGAAGCGCGACGTGACGCGCGCGAGCCGCTCCATCGCCTGCGCCGCCGCGATCTCGGAGTTTTCGCGCAGCAGCACGGAGAGGAGGGACGCCTTGTTGCCGCCTCCGATCTGCGACTTGTCGAGCGAGCCGCAGAGGTGCTCCGAGTTCTGAAAGACGACCCAGCCGTCGGCGGGGCACATGGCCTCGGGCTCTGGCTTCTGGCGGAGCGGGTTGTACGACTTGTTCTTGGTCTCGAGGTTGGCGAAGACGGCCGAGGCGCGCGAGGGGCGCAGCATGCAGGTGAAGAGCTGCTTGCCCGTCCAGAGCTCGACCGGCTTGAGGATCGCGGGCGGGGGCAGCTCGATCGGCTCGGCCGCGTCCGACATGTAGGCGACCAGCCTCGTGAAGCCGTCGCGCGGGAAGAACATGCCTTGCTTGGACATGAGGTACGCGCCTAGGGTCAGGGTTGGGGTTGGGGTTAGGAGTAGGGAAGAGAATGCCTTGCTTGGACGTGCGGTGCGCGCCGGTGATGAAGTCCTGCGTCGCGGCGATGACCATCTCGCCGTTGCGCGGAGTGACGAGGTTCGCGTGCACGCCCATCAGGCAGAGCGCCTCGGCGCGCGCCTCCTCCGTCTGCGGCAAGTGCAGGTTCATCTCGTCGCCGTCGAAATCGGCGTTGTACGGCGCGCAGACGCACTCGTTGAAGCGGAAGGTGCGCCTGGTCGCCAGAGCCCGAGTCACAGCTGTGAAGTCACGCGCTCTTCACAGCACCACTCGCCGGCCGGGGAGAAGGCGCGCCACGGCACGTAGGGAGAGATGAGGGAGATATGGGGAGATATGATCTCGGAGGGCGCGCCACGGCACGACGCGCGCGCGGTGCGCCATGATGGAGAGCTTGTGCAGCGACGGCTGGCGGTTGAAGAGGACGACGTCGCCTACCTCTCGTGGACTGCTGGTCGAGTGCGAACCTCCACACCGCCGCCGGGGGAGGAGGGCGGCGACGCCGTTGGTGAGGTGCCGCTCGACCACGTCACCCACCTTGAGCTCCGCTGCGACGCGCCGCCGGTCGCCGAACTTGAGCGAGCGCTTGCCCGCCTCGGTCTCGACGTAGTTTGCGCCCGGCCAGAGGTTGGGCCCGTTGACGACGAGCTTGCGCATGAGGGAGAGGTTGTGGGCGTGGACTCGCTCTGGGTAGGTGAGCACGCGCGCCACGCGGTCCGGCACGCCGACCTGCGGGAAAGGGGGGGGGGAAGGCAGCCGCGGGACGGCGTCACGGCGGGACAGCACCACGGGACGGCGCCACGGGACTGGACACGCGCGCGGCGAGCCAACCTCGTCGATCGCGAGGTTCGGGTCGGGGGAGATGACGGTGCGGCCCGAAAAGTCGACGCGCTTGCCGGACAGATTCCCTCGGAAGCGGCCTAGGGTTGGGGTTAGGGTTAGGGTTATGGTTAGGGTTAGCTTGCCGGACAGGGTCCCTCGGAAGCGGTTCCCTGCTTCCCCTTGAGCCGCTGGGCGTAGGCCCTGATCGGCCGCTTCTCGGCCTGCCAGTCGGGCCGCACGCCGGGCACGTTCGCCCCGTTGATGTACATGGCCACCTGCAGCTGCAGGTAGTCCCAGTCCTCCATCAGCATCGCCACCGTCGCCTTTCCGCCGCTCAGCGCGCAGCGGATCGCATTGTTGACCGTGATGATCTGCGAGAGCTTGACGGTGAGGTCGTCCTCGTTGGAGCCGACGCTCGGGTCGGCCATCACCGACGGCCGGATCGGCACCGGCGGCACGAGCAGCCTCTCGACCAGCAGCGCCTGCCCGCAGCCCGGAGGCGCGTGAGGGGCGGGCAGGGGGGAGCAGCGCCAGCCTCGCCTCGCGCGCCTCCGGCCGGCCGTGCGTCGCAGACATGTCGAGGAGGGGCAGGTCGGCGGGGACGATGGCGCGCAGCAGCGCCTTGAGAGCGGGGTGCAAGTGTCTCGGAAGTGTCTCGGAGGTGTGTCGGGGGGGTGTCGGAGGTGTGTCGGAGGTGTGTCGGAGGTGTCTCGGAAGTGTCTCGCGCCTTGACGCGGAGCGGGGTGAGGTCGTCCTGCGCCTTCGGGAGAAGCTCGGCGACGTCCGAGCCGGCGAGGACCGGGTTCTCGAAGGCGCCCTTCGGCTGGCCGGTGGCGTGCCTACGCGGCGGCAGCCGGACTGGGGGCCGGGCGGCGAGGGCCGGCTGGGCAGAGGAGGAGGCAATGCTCAAACGAGGAGACAAACGTGTCGCGCTCGCGGTGCGCCCGGTCGGAGTTCTCCTTTGGGGGGATCTTCTCGTGCACGATCCGCGCGAAGCCGACCTTGCGCACGAGCCCGTTCCTCGCGCCGCAGTACGGGCACTCGCGAACCTATTCACACCGCAGAGCTGTGAAGAGCTCGCCGTTCACGGCGGCGGCAGCGGGGGCACTCGCGACGCCTTCTTGCAGCGCTCGACGACGCGCTTGAAGGCGGCTCCCATCCGCACCGAGTCGCCGCGCGTCATCGGGTGGCTCAGCGCGCGGAGCATCTTTGTGCGCTCCGGTTGCGGCAGCAGCACGCGCGCGCAGTCCTTGCAGATGGTCTGCAGCAGCGCGACCACCGGCTTGAGGTACCCGATGTGAAAGACGGGCAGCTCGAGCCGGACCTCGGCAAAGTGGCCCGGGCAGTCCTGCGGCGCGGGCGGAGGCCGCTCCGGCAGAGAGGCTCCAGCGGCGGCGCGAGCGGACGCGCGGGGCGGAGGACGCTGGATAGGCAGGCAGGCTGAGAGGCGGCACGGGGGCGGTGCGGCACATTCATGCGGAGGCCGCACGTCTCGCACGTCGACGCTTTGTCCGAGACGCCGAGGCGGCGGTCCAGCACGCCGCCGACCACCGGCGTCCGCACCTTCTCCTCGGGCTTTGGCATCTCGTATGCTCGGTCGCTCGTCACGTCAAACTCGGCGAGCCGCGAGACCTCGGGCGGGCCAAACATGCCGAACTGGATGTGCGATATTTTGGTCTCGCTCATGTTTTCATCGCGCTGCACTTGGCGCTTCTCGCCAGAGGGTATGGTCGTCATGCCGGCCCGCCCAGGGCAGCTGCGGGCGGGGCTTTCCTCCGTCGCCGGTGACCCGCCGGTATTTTTTTTCGAGAGCGCCTTCGTGCTACAATAATCGATAAGCCACTCTCTCTCTCTCTCTCTCTCTCTCTCTCTCTCTCTCTCTCTCTCTCTCTCTCTCTCTCTCTCCCCCCCCCCCCCCCCCCGGGGGAGGTGGATCCACGCTCGGTGACATCTCTTCACCTTCACACTGGTCGAGTCATAGGTGACGCGAGGGTGCTCACTTAATTGATTAATTCACTCATTAATTCCTTAATTGCGTACCGTATTCCGGGTAATCTTAATTATTAATCATCGGGCGGGGCGCGGCGCGGCGGCGGCGCGGAGCGGGGCGGCGAGACCATCTGTACTGAACGGACCAGCTAGCTGGTCTTTGAGTCGGCGCAATGGTAGCGCCGCCCTCGACTCAAGGGGCTGCCTTCCACACGTCGCTGCTCAGGCAGGGGGAGGGGGGGAGACCTCCTGTTCCTCGCGGAACGGGAGCAGCCCCCTCCTTGCCCGGTCTACGAAGCAGGGCGGTGGTCGTGCCATCTTCGCTTCAAAACGACCACGCCGCAATCGTCGCCGGCGCGCGACACGTTCCCGGAGGCCGGACTGTCCTGGTCGAGAGTGTGTGCCGCCAAGGCGGGGCTACTCGGGGACAGTGCCGACGGGGCGCGGCTCGTGAGACGACTCCCGCGAAGGCACGGCTGGCATCCGTGGCGTGGGGCTCGCCTTCGAAAAGTCGGGCATGGCTCTCCCCGCAACTCTATTGCTAACACGCGCGCACCACCGAGACTGTGGTGGGCGCGCTGCGGTCGCACGTCTACCTCCGTCATAGTGCCACGACGTGCGGCCTAGAATAAGCACACGCGCCTCTGCTTGCTTACACTCATACATTGGATTGTCATCGCCTGTGAGTGCGAGATAGGGCTAGCCGTAGGCAGCTAGCCTCTGAGGAGGGCGTCCATAGACACCTCACTAGACCCCACACACGGTCTCGTCCGTGCCTCGCCGGCCGGAGAGATTGCTGGAGGTAGAGCAAGCCTGCTCTAGCCTCGCATGTCACTTCCTGTCGTCTGTTGTGTCGTTGTGCCCTTGTTTGTACTCTTGGCACCGTGGAGTGCTGGGGGGGGCGACAGGGAGGATATGGCCTTGAGTTATGTGTAAGCCGACTCAGGGTGTGTGGCAGCCCGCTGGCTGTGTGTCTTGTGAGCTTGTTTGTGTCTGTGTGTCGCTCGTGCGTGTCGTCATCATCTGTCCAGCGTCCACCCATACCGCGTTGGTGTCCAGTCCGAGCCTGGCTGTTCTTCACCTTTCTACCTACCTACCTAAGCCAATGGTCCCTGTAGCAGTCACTCGCAAACACACACCGCACCGCACCGCACCGCGCACCCGCCCACCGCCCCGCCCAGGCAGGAAAGAGATGAGGAGATGGGACAGCGAAGGAGGAGCACAAACACGTATGGGAGGGTCGAATGGATGGGTGGGAGGGTAAAGTTGCGCGACACGCTGCCCAACGTTTCTCACAGTCCGGGACGACTATCTCATACGCCCTGTATCTTCTACCCCATCGCCGACCGCCCAAACCCCTCTCCTCGTTCGTCGTCGTTCCCCCCTCAATCTTCTCCAACCTCGACGAGCGAGCCGACGAACCGCTGAGTCTTTTTTACATTTGCCCAGAGGTCTCTTCTGGAGGGCATTCCCCGCCAACACACTACCCCGCATTCAATGCTCCACCGCCCGCCGCCGACACGCACGTGCGACGCCGCCGAAGGTGTACAGATTCCAAATAGGAGGCAACACACCTTCCTTCCCGTGAGGTGTTGGCCTGTAAAGAAAATTTTAAGGCCGGGCAACTTTTGTAGAAGATTTCAGGGTTTATCGAAGCATCACCCGGCTCTCCCATACCCCCCCTCCCCCTGTCGCACAGCTGCTCCACGCCGACGCTCACCCGCACCTCGGCGGCGTGAAATCGTGAAATCAGCAGGATCCGGGATAGTCAGACGCACTAGAGACTACCTCACTGGGCCTGAGACCACCCACGACGTTTCCCGTCACCGTCTCGAGTTTGTGTGGTCTGTGGAGTCGAACCACTCTCCGGGATGGGCAAGCCCATCATATGAATCATTGATGCCATCAAGCCATTTCCCGCTCAAAAAGTAGAGCTCGTGCGAGATATTCAGCCGCCCGCACGCCCCCCCCCCCCCACCGCACGCTGCCCGCACGCTGCCGGATCCACTGGGAGATAGGAATTTGACACACGACATAGCTCATAGGCACGGACGGGACTGGCGCGCACACTGGCACTAACACAGGTACACCACGGGAATGTACAGCCAGTTCTGCAGTCGCGCCCACCCATGTGATTCTTGTTGGTTTTCAAAAATCTCTCTTCGACCCCCATTCGGGGAAAAATGGTAGCGCTACCTGGATCCAGCCTCCTGTGTGCCCCTGCACCTAGTGCTAGCATCTCCATCCTGCGCTCGCCAGAAGGTCCACCGCTTGCGACCAAAACCTGCCACGACAACCATATTGCCTCTCCGCCTGCTCGTAGTCCAGATGAGCTGGCGCGTACCCTAGCGCGTACCGGCGTCACGGGTCGCACTCATGCGACGCTGGAGTGGGCACTGACTGGGCGCAGCCCCTCGCGTAGGATCGGTGCTGACCCACCCGCTCCCACTCCCTTTTTTTCTCCTGGTGGGTGTGTTCTCTCTGTCTTAATAATGTATGTACTTACTTTTAGGCACGACGCCCAATTCCAAATGTTTTCACCACAGGATGCGCTGCGCGCGTTTTCCGATAGTCAAACCTGGTAATAACTGTGGCCACACGACGCCCAATTCCTAAAAGTCCTAAAATTCGCGTGTTTTACAGTCGTAGCCGCCAACCACCATATCCACCTGGAGGTGTTCCGGCGCCTCCGCCGCCGCTGGCGTACTTGTCACCCGCAAATGGGGGGTGCACGCTGCAAGACGACTGCTTCAGCACTCCCAACTACCCGCAAGACTACCTCAACAATGACTACTGCGAAATCAGCTTCAATCAGGATGTCCTTGTCACCGTCAAGTCACCTTTTGGAACAAGAGGTCGAGGTTGCGACTACACCCGGGGAACTTGTGACCTTCTCGTTGTTGGGGGGTATTTTCTGAGTGAAGTCAGTCTTGACAGGTTCCCAGTCCCAGCGGCGCTCGAGGCGGGCTCTACGATCTCATGGTCGACAAATGCCTATGAAACGGATTCGGGATGGCAGCTCTGCTTCAGTCCAGCGCCGTTCCCCCAGCCGCCGCCGCCCTCTGTCCCGCCGTCTCCGATGCCACCCCCGATGCCTCCTCTGCCACCACCATCTCCACTCCCGCCGCCTTTGCCCCCAGCACCACCGCCGCCGCCGCCGCCGCCGATTGGATGCTCCGGCACTCCCCCCGACGCAGAAGGGCATGTGGACCTGCCGCCCGGCACGACGGAGGTACCCGATGAAGCTTTCAACGGGTGCTCATCGCTCGTGTCCGTCTCCTTTCCCCTCGGTGTCACCTCCATCGGCAGGGCCGCCTTCCAGAGCACCGGCCTTCGCTCCCTCGACCTGTCGGGCACCAGCGTGGGCCAACTTCGACCGCCGCCACAGCTCGCCACGAGCACGCAGCGACAAAATGTTGACTGTACGGAAGTTGAGGCTGGTCCAGAGGAAGAGGCTGCCGTGGACTGCTGCGGCGACTTTTTTTGGGCTTCTCTGTTCATAGTACCGTATACGGTACTATGGTTTACCCACACTTCTGTGCTGCACGAATGGTTGGGCAGGTGTGAACAACACCTCCTGACCACGGCGCCGAAGGCGCCTGTTGATAGGTCCAGGTGATAGCCCTGGATGAGCAATGCATACGCCTAGTTGGACCTCAGATCACCCGCCCGCGTCCCGGTGCTCTGCCGTCGGATTTGTGACTCCGCCGCACCGCGCCGCGGCCGGGGGCCCTCCGGAGGCCAAGGATGGCCGTGGCGGACCGGGATGAGCTCTGGGAGGTAGAGTGTCAGTGTATATATTGTAGAGACCAACCTTGTGCACAATATCTCTCAGTCTAGCTAAGCCAGGGGAGGCGATTCCGGGTCCGTACAGCAGCTTGATGGTGCTTCGCCGGCGTGCGTCCCGGAGCGGTGCCGGACGGACGGTCCGTGGGAGGAAAACTCTCAGGGCAACGCCGACGCCGCTCTGATTCGACTTGTAACTTCAAACAAAGACAGTCGCACGCGCCGCGCCTGTCAGGAGCGGATCCGTCAGTTAGTCGTGTTCACGCCGGGATCGTGCCCTGACTAACCTGCCCAACCATTCGCGGTGACGAGTAAGCGAGTACGCGACCACGACGGCTACTCTGATACTCCGGGCCGACCCGTCTCCTACCCGACGGTGGCACTCTTCCACGTCTCGCTCACGCTGAGAAAACTTCTGAAATGGCGTGCAGCAGAGTCACCGACGAGTCGGTCCGTGTGACTCCTCGTGTCCCGTACTGTTCCTCACACATCCATAAACTCACTTTGGCCTCACTGAAGCAAGCCCTCAATCCTGAATCCTCAGATTTTAGATTAGGACGCTGTCGACCCTCTACTGTCGGTGTCGCAGAGTTGATGGGTGATGTGTGTGGAGATCTCGCGCGGCGCATCACATCACCTTCGTCTCCTTGCTGCGCAGCAGGGTGTAGTTCGGGCCCACCTCCGCCCCTGGTTCGGCTCTCCTACCTTGTACTTTGAGAGAGAGAGAGAGAGAGAGAGAGAGAGAGAGAGAGAGAGAGAGAGAGACTTCTAGCTTAATGTGCGACCGCCTTTTGTCATGAAATTCTAGCTTCGTCCATGTCCGACATCTCGCTCGAGACCATCCGGGATCACCGAGATCGCGATCTCGCCCCGAGATGAAGGAGAGTAGGCGGCGGCGGCGCCGCCAGCGCGCCACACGCCTCGCCAAAGTCACGACGGCGTGATGATCACATTAGCTCACGCCATGCCAGCTCTGTGGCCGCGTCAGGCTCTGCG